CCCCCCGCCCCGACTACACCGTCCTTTCGGGTGGTTGTAGAGGGTGATAACGTCCCCTCCGAGTCTCCTCTTCTCCAGGCTAAACACCACCAGCTCCAAAAGCTTCCAGACGTTCCTCGGTCTGGTGTTGTTAGACCCATGTATCTGCTATAATTTCCTTAAGACCGTGTGGCTGCCCAGAGCTGAGCTGAATCAAAAACCAAGCTGGACACGAGTCATTCGACTGTAATGACTTTGTTACAGGTAAAGCCCATCAGCTGCGTGGCATGCGCTGCTAGAGCTAAAGCCAAGCTCAACAAAACAAGCACAAGCCAAGAGAAGTCCAGGCAAAAGGTTGCAAGTCCTTAGGCAGCGTGTTTCTGGAGCAGCCCGTGGCCTGCTGATAGCAACGGCAATGCCGTCTCTGCAGGGCTGCAACTCCTGTGTGTGAGGGAGAGTTATCTGTGTGCTAGAGAGGGAGGAGCGTGAGCTGACCGTTCAGGTTGGCTGGCTGAGTAATAGTAGCTGGAAATGGCACCAGCCTGCTTGCGAAGCAATAAGCTGTTGGAGTTGCGATGGGAGTACCAACGTCCTTCTTGCGGTTCCACCAGCGACCCATCTGCAGGAAAGTCCACGCCGAGGATAGCTGCTCCTGCCACACGAGCCTGGCGAGCGCTGCCCCACGCGATTTGGAAAGGATGTTCTTAAGCTCTTAAAATCTTGCAGCTTCCATTTTTCAGTGTGAGGCGTTCTTCGGTGTTGAGTCATCTTGTGGTGATGAAGCGCGGAGGTTTGTTTTTCTCTCCCTGTTGTGTTTTTGCAGTAGCCTCCTTGTGCGAGCTGACACAGCTTATTACACCGGGGGCCTCTGATTTGAGCTGCAGCAGTTTGGTGCAATGGAAAGATAATCTCTTCAGAAAGAAAATCTCTGCAAGCTGTTTGGTTGTGGTATGGTAGGACAGAGGTTCTTCAGAGGCCATGGATTGGGTGATTTTTTTTTTTTTTTTTCTTTGCTGCAGTACTGGGTTGTGGGTTTTTTTTTTTAGCTAATCTTGTTTTTGGAGAAGGTTAATGGCAGTGAAACAGAAATCCTGGATTTCTGGGAAATGCTGTTTATAGACCTTTGAGGTTAGATCTGGGTCAAAGTCTAACAGAGAAGCTCAGGAATGATATACAGTAAATATTCAGATTGTTCAAGACAGACAAATTAAGATCAAATAAGACTGTATTTCTGTCTCGCTTTATTCAGGTAATGTTTGAAATAGTTGGTGTAGCTGAAGCTGTGACGAATTTGCCGCTCTGGTGTGTGAGGTGGACCAAGAGTCTAGGGAGTCATTTTTATAAAACGTGAGTCTGTTGAGTCTGTCCTTTAGTGAGAGCAGCTGCTTGGTCTAGTCTACTCCAGGCTGCTTAATAACAGTTTAGAAGTACTGGCAGTGCTAGCCAGAATACACAAACAAATTTTTTTTCCCTTCTTTCCTATGCCTTGATCCTAGATCTTTCACGGTCTTGAGTCTAGTCCTTTATTTTTGTTATTTCTCTTATTCCTTGATACTGCTTTATGTCCGTATCAGAGGCATAGCTTATGTATTAAAAAGAAAATTTGCTTGCAGAGTTTGCTTTTATAGGTGTGTAGGTAAATACGCCTGGTATAGGTAAGTCAACATGCCTCATGGCATATTGGAACAGTCATTAGCAAGTGCAAACTGCTCAGGTTTGTCACACAATGAAGCTCTTTGGTTTTGAATTTTGAACCTGCGCTTTGGATAATTTCTCCAAATGTTACAAGTAAATAACTTGTGCACAATTTCCAGTCTAAAATTCTGTATGCAGCTTTGATTAGGTTCTCCAGGGTGTTTGGAGTTGTCTACATATAATCTCTGTATCATTTATAAGGAATGTTCTTACCTCTCTATTATCTAGGGATTTCACAGAAGCGAGAAGGTTCCTGACTTGCCCCAATACCTGTCCCCTTTTACTCTGCTCTCTGGTTACACTTTCATTGATTGTCTCTTAGGTCACAGGGAAAGACAGTTATGATTTCATGCCTTTCCCAGTACTTCTTCAGTGAATCTGCTACCTCTCATTTTTAGAACAGCTGTTTCCTAGAAAAATGATTACAGTCATTCTTGACTGTACCAAATGCTAGGACTTGAGTCTATTGTCAAAACATCTTAAATAGCAGTGTTTTTCCTTCCAGAGTTGATGCAGGCTGTTTTGTCTCCTTCACTACGTTCCCAACTGTAATTCATAAACTGTTCTGTCTTTTCCGTCAGTGTTATCTACCTTTTAATACTTGCAGCTGTAACTTTGTATGTAGTGCTAACTCTTTTCTTCTACATCTGAAATTGCTGCATTTCTTAATGGTAGCATTCCTTTCTTTGGCCTTTTCCTCCTGTTTCTGTTAAGTCCCTCATAGTCTTCTCCTTGAATAATTGCTTCTAGTTTAGACTCGTTATTTCCTGTCACCCTGGTGTTAATGTACAAGTAGATGTAAGATGGCTTATTCCCTTTCCTTCTTGGGAAGTAATTTTTTTTTTTTTCTTCTTTCTTTCCTCCTCACCCTTTTTTTCTTCATACTATCTACAAGCCTGGCATTTCAGTTCTTGACTTAAAGTTGTCTCTTTGTCAAAAAGTGGATCTTGTAACTACTCCAGGCTGTTTTCTCCATTCGGTTGATTCAAAGAAGGACAAATTTATTGTGCATAGTGGCATAGAAAATTAAGTCACCTCAAGAGATGACCTCTTCACAGACATTTAGTACTCAGGGTTGTTAATTGTTGTTTTTGTTGCTGAGGTTGGTGGTGAGGTATGAAATGGAAATTGTCAGCTGTTGAGCTTTTGGTCGTTTTGAACTGATGGAACCAGGTACCAGTGATCTTCACAGCCTATAATATTTCCTTTCCTGGAAACTATCTAGGCAGAAATGATGTGTGTTGAAAAAACTAACTGGAAGAGGTAATCCCAGAAACACTCTGGCAATTACTAAACCTCATAGTGCGTCTCTGTTAGTCTTCTGGATAGCTCAAAATAGTGACTACACAAAAGCTGAGGAGTAGGGGTTTGGTGTGTTTTTTTTTTTTTTTTTTGTTGATTGTGGGGTTTTTTAATTCAGAAAGTAATTGCAAATGAAATGGGAAGGGTTCCTTGAAGAAATAACAGTTTGGTCATTTCTAAGGGGAAATTGGTGACGGTGTAGGGAGAAGCACATCTGAAAAAGTGAAGTGAGAAGGAAAGCCAAAGGTGGCAATAAAACAGAGTGAAAATAGAAAGACATTAGATTAAGTAGAGATTTGTAGAACATTGGCGAGGGCAAAAAAAAAATACTTCAAACAAAAACTGAAATTAGCAGAGAGTAATGTGGTTAACTGGAGGCAGGAAAAAATGAGATCCATCTGCTCCAAATTGCTTCGCAATGTAAGGTGGAAAAAAAATGAAGAGCAGAGATGTCTAGCTGTAAAAGTCAAGGTGACAGATAAGGACTGAGGAAGAAGTGCTCTAGTAAACAGATTACAGAACCCAGATAATTTCTTTGCTTGCTGAAGGGAAGGAAATGGGAGAGAAAGAATGGGAGGTGACAATGAAATTTTGATCCAGAGAGAGAGTTAAAATGTGTGTGTTATTTAGAATAGCAAAGGAAGACCGTAGCAAGAGACTGGAAAGAATCAGCTTGTGATAATGGTGTGGCAGGAATGGGAGACATTTGGAATCGAACCAACTTGAAGAAAATTTCTTGAATTATTGCTGTGTGATTGAACAGGTCTGCGGAAGTAGTGATTGAGTAGTTGGAACGCTTGTGCTTACAATGGACTTGTCTTCTGTGAGAGGAGTAAAAGAATTGATATAGCAGGAAATAAATACATTGGAGCAGAAGGACTATTTCTTACTGTAGTTTTGCTTCTTGCCATGAAATGCATAGCTCGAGTCACTTTGTGGATGCTATGAAATAAGGATAATGATCGCTCTGTTTGCCGTATTTTTATCACTTAATAAAAGCGTCTTCTCTTTTGTGTGTAGATATTTGATTTGATGGACGCCAAAGCCCGTGCTGACTGCATCAAAGAAATAGATCTTCTGAAGGTAAAAGTTTGGTTTATAAAATGTGCAGCTGTCATCAAAGTGCATAAAGTTTTTGATAGATATACTTGAGGTGTCCACTGTTGTCTGTGTAGCTTTTTTTATAAGCCACATTTAAGGAATTTTGAATCTTCATGGCTTTAAAAATTCACCCATTCTTGTATAGGATTTAGTTTTCAGTGTAACTTTGAATGGAAGTTTCTACTAAAACCACAGTTTTTAGGCAACTGTTTCCTGTGAACAGCAAAATACTGATTTTTAAAAATTCACTTTGTTTCAGATAAGTTTAGCGTGCTATTGCATAGAAACAATGAAGCAAAATTCCTCTAAAATTGCATCTTCAACCATTGTGTTGACTGAAATGCCATCCTGTTCTTGCAAAGCGTTTCTCTGTAAAGGCTTCTCATAAGCACATACGTTTTGTGTCATACTGAAGTAGTTTTTAGGTGTTTTTTGCTTAAATAAGAATGTTTCATTTGTCAATCTTTAAAAGACGTGCTCCACACTAATACGTGCGTTACTATTCTGCTTTTGTAGCAACTGAATCATCCAAATGTAATTAAATATTATGCCTCATTCATTGAAGACAATGAACTGAACATAGTGTTGGAATTAGCAGATGCTGGAGATCTCTCTAGAATGATAAAGGTAGGAAATAATTCTTTGAAAAACCATTAAAATTAAATAACTTTCAACTTTGGCTTTTTATTCTCTGATCACTGGATGAAATGTGATGAAAATGTTGGAAACTGTGGAGTGTTTAGACTAGATTTTCTCTGTATGCCCAATACTGATGCCTGTGTAAGTATCTTTAATGCTGTTGCCCAGAATGCAAGCGCAGATGGGGACGTAAATACACTAAAGTTCTATTAGTGCTGGGGAAGAGGAAAAAACCTGCAAAGAAAAAGCGTGGTCACCATCATTTAGAACAATGCATTTTGACAGCATTCCAGGTTTTTGACACAACTGAGTTTCATATTGCAATATTCCATTCTTCTTAATAGTAGGGGAGCAGAGAAGGACTGATGTCATATGGCAAAAATTTCTTTTAGATCTTGAACTTCAGCTGCTAACCACTTTAGGAAACAAAGTACCTATTAAAATGGAAATAACTGCTTAATTTTGTAGGTGTAGTTAAATACTTCTTTATCTTGAGACTAACAAATATTCCAAAGACATGTTTCATATTTGGTTGAAATCACATGCAGAGAACTTGCTGATATGTGGTTATGCATTATGGATTAATCAGGGTCTTTTGTAGTTTTTAAATGCCTGTCCTTTAGCACATCAGGAAAAAGTATCCAAGTCCCGTTGTATAAACTTTTACATTTTGAAACTTACTTTACCTTTTAACTAGCATTTTTATTTCTATTTTTGTTTGTCACCTTACAACTACTTCCCTTCTTTCACTACCATTTTTCTACTTGGTCTTGGTTTTAGCACGTCCCTTTGTGTACTTGTGTGCACACTAGTATTATTTGTTATCAACACAGTATAACTCTGGGAACAAATAATACCAGTCAATTAGCACTCAGCAACAGCCTGGCCCACAAGAGTGTTCTGCTCTGTGTAGGACCTACATGAATAGAGGACGTTAATTTCTTTGTTAATTGTTTTCATACAGATTGGGTTTTTTGAGCTTCTGAGGAGTATTCCCTTCTAGACTGATAATGGTAAGGTGGGATAGTAAAAATTTGGTTCCAAACAGGTTGACAGCATTCTTTTAATATTTATATCCAAATCTGATAGTTTTCTTCGTCTCATGAATTATTAATTTTGTGGGCTTACATTTCATAAAACATAAAGAAAGGTTTGTCTTTTCTTTTGAATGTTCAGTTTTGACACAACAGTTATTAATATGAGTACTCTGTGACAGATTGCCTTATGGCAAGTCTGGTCTTATGACCCATTGAAGCTTTCTTTTTCCCCCCATACTTTTTTTTTAAAAAAAAAAAATATTTAAATCCAATGTGTGAATAATGGCTTCTTCAATGCAGTTGGCCTCATTACACCTTGTCCAAGTCAGTGGGTATTTCTTACGGGCTCAATCTTGGAGGCACTTTGTGATTGTCCTCTTAACACAGGGATCATGTTTAATGTAGCAAACTTAGATTGCTGTTTGATGTTAATGACAGCCTATCAGGCTATTATTAAATATGGATGAGGTGTCACAACGCACTTCATCTTCGTGCTGCTGATGGAAGAAATGACTTGGTAGACTCCTTAGATGGTGTGAGTTTAAATGTGGGGCGCTTCAGTTAGCTAGCATCTCCTTAAAGAAGTATTTTTAAAATGGTCCGGAAAATAAATGAGATGTAATGGTATGGAAGCTTCCCAGCCTAATGGCTGCCTGTCAGGCTACCGAGGTAAATAACTGTGTTGTGATATGAAAGCAAACAAGCCGTGCTTTGCTTTCCAGTGTTCTTGCTGGAATGCTGGTCTGAGTTTGGTGGAAGAGCAATACCAGGCTTCTCATGTGACTCATAGAAAAGGATCAAGAGTATTTTTGCAGTTGTCAGTGACCACGGCTTGAATGACACTGAAGCTGATGTTAACGTGAGGGAAAACCAGTTTACTTGGGTATTTGTTACGACATTATTGGCACGTCAGAGAATACTTACAAAGGTGCTGAACCTCACAGTGCACCTTAATGAATTCATTATTTTTTTTTCTTTAATGAACCACATCCTTTCTGCCCAGCTTTTATACCATCCCTCCTGTTACCTGGGAATAATATTCTCTTTGTTCCCATTGAATAGACATTTGAGGAAAATCGCTCGGTGCATTTGTATGCATTCTAATAGAGTTCGTACAATCTGCTGTGTTTCTAAATAAAATAAAATGGAGCTGTGCATTGGCATTTACAGATCTCATGATAAAATCCAAGGTATCTCCTCTCTTCTCTCTGTGTGTTTATGTATGTACACAGATTTAATTCGCTTCACCTTGTTTGTTTTTTTAATTACCTCGCTCACAGGGTGATGTTTCAGTACAGCCTCCATTACCAAATGTCGGAGGATGCAAAATAGATTTATTATCTTACAGCTTTTAATAGCTTGGTAGAAGTCTGGGGCATGGTGTGGGAGGGGACAAACATTATCAATGAGGGTAAAAAAACTTGCATTTGACTTACAGTTGGTTTGGCACTAGGACATGCGCCTCAGTACTGTGTAACCCCTGCGAAAGGATGGTGAAAGAAGGAAAAATTCTTCATTTTCCATACCTGTGAATTGAGCTGCTGGATACTATTACCTCAAAGAATTTGCAAGTAAATAATTAGTGACTATTGTGCGAGTTCCCTGGTGCTCCTGGCCTATTGTTTGTTGGTGTCTGTGGACTCTACTCTGGAATGTGTTGGTAGTACATCGGCACCGAGGTGAAGGGTACTTCAGGAGAACTCCTGTCCTTACGTTGTAATGCCACCTCCTTTTGCAATACTGTAAAGCAGGTTTGAGTCTTGATCCCTTTTTCACTTAGTCATGGTTCTCCTCCACCACAGATGGTGACAGGGCAGAAAGCTGTTCCGTGTGCTTTTTTGGTTTGGGATTTCTTTTTATTTTTAAAGCAACAAGTGATATATCTGAGAAAGCAAATGTCATAAATCAAGAAGAATCTCCTAATTGCATTAATCAAGAAAATATAACGATTCAGTAAAAGAAACTAGTTAGTAAAGTCTATGCTGAAGATGTTGAGAGAATTTGAACTGTCTTGCAGTGTAATTAGCTTATTATTTAAGACTAAATATAAAATTATTAGAAAGGCTTGTAAAAGGGATTTATCAAGACACTAAAATGTGTGGCTTTTTTTTTTAGATTGGCAGCAAACTTGTAGGTCTGCCTCATTTCTGCAGGAATTTTTAGCATTTCTGGCAAATAATCTCAGCACACCAAAAAAATGCAAGCTTTAAACTGAATATGTCATACAGATCTTGAAGAAATTGATCATGTTTTGGGAACAAGCATGAAAGCTTTCATCTAAAAAAGTTGAAAATACGTGTGCAGCTTTCTCGGGGTTTGAATTCTCCTAAATGTCACCTAGGCACTTCACCCACTCTTCAGAGAACACTTCTGTGTGTATTTTTTTCAGCTTTAAATTAAGAAATACACACCTGCTCTGACTGTCTAGGTAAAATAAGACAAATATTTTCAAACTTCTCATCAGTATGAAGTTCATTGATATCTCAGATTTCTGTAATTTGGAACAGCGAATTATTTGTCCTTAAATATTTTTTATAGGACAGTCAAAATACAGGAATAGTCGCTTCTTTCCGAGCGGCTGATGCATATCTAAATTGCTCGTTGCAGTAGCTGGAGCTCTGTTTAGACTTGTTGGAAATCTCATTGATAATTGTTCTGCTGTTTCACCAGTGTTGGATAGTTTGGGCTTTGCTGAGTGGAGTTACATCAGGTGATTTCTCCTCTCCGCCTGGTCTGGGATGCAGATCCTCCCTCTTTTCCCTGTGCCAAAATGTATTAGCAGTGAGTTTTTGTGGAACTTAACTTGCGGCACGAGAGAGTTTGCCCTTTCTTAAGGGCTCAAAGAGCGGCCGCAATTTGGACTTTTGTCTGTGAGAGCTTTTCCAGCCCAGAGTGTCGCTCCTGCCTGTGTGAAGCAACCCCAGCCCTGTTGCAGAATCCGTGTGGGTGCAGCCTGAGTGTGTTACAGCGCGAGGTGGCTGCGGGGCGAGATGACAGCCTCTGGGGATTTACAGACACGTTGTTAAGGCAGTGGATTCAGCGAGAACGCTGGTGCAGGAGGTGGTTATTCCAGTCTGCCTGAGGTGTTCCGTGGTGCCTGTGTGGCTGGACGGCACTGAGTGGAGAGTTACTCCTGTCACTCTGAACTCGAGTGGTGGCCAGGTGCAGCTCGGAAGCTTCTGCATAGGTTGCTTCTGTTGACGTAGCATCACATTCTAGTAAGACAGCGGCGAATTGAGGGGACACACACTGATACAGAAGCTACTGACATTTTCTGGCTCTAAACTAGCTGCCCTGTGTGGCTGGATGGCTAGTAGCCCATGAGTAACCAGTCCCACGGCAGTGAAGCTGGTTATGTTGCTGAGAACGGAAACTCGTCGCTTGTTTTTTCAAACTCTTTTCTGCTGGATTACTGTCTTGGCAATGTGCTAGAAATAGAGATGGTTTTTCAGACAGCGAGTTTATCTGATGAGTGTTGATAGCACACGTTGTCTGTAGTTAGGCTTTGTTTAATTGCAAGAGTGATGATTTTCTTTTGCCGTGCTGATTGGAAGATTTTTGGGAGTATAGAGGTAAGGAAGTACTTGCCTAAGGAAAAGGTGCAGTGTCAGAATCCAGCAGGTCAAGTGCTTACTCCTTGCCAGGGGATGACCCAGCGTTTTTGGAAACCCTCGGCTATTAACTGCCTGTATTGTTTGGCTGCCTCTTTATCACAGAAAGCACTGATGTACAACTGTAGCAGCTGCAGGAGATGAGTTGTTTGGAATGCCGGTGGGACAAGGATGCTGCCCAATGCGGTTTGAATGGCAGTGTTGCAGAGGCTGTTTTTGGCTGTGCACACCCGTGTGTAGTAGGACAGTAACTCTTGTTGGCTGTTAGGGTTGTCAAAGGTTTAGCTGTGCGAGAACGGGTTTTCAATTTGTCAAAATATAACGATTTCATACTAATATG